ACGGGCTGTTAATTTACAGTGGTGCCTATCATCTTTGTTTAATTTTTATTTAATCTGCAAAAATGTAGTGGTCTTTATATGTTCACACTCCTGTCAGTGGTGAGTTATTGTCTGATGGTAAGTGCTCCTCTTTATGTGGTTACACCACTGAAAAAGCAGTTGGTACAGGACAGGACCAGCTGAAAAGGCTAAAGGGAGGGTGGCAGACAGGGATGTCTCTTCCCTTGATGACAGTGATTTAACTTCAGGAAGCAAAGCAGTAAGCCCTGCTTACAAACCAGATGCTTGAGAGTTAGCAGCTGATACACTGAGCTGATTTCCTATGGAGGATCTTTGGAATTCAGACCCAGCTGTCTGCCCATGCTAGATGTGGACTAGTCAAGGCATTTCAGTCAGCACTTTTGTCCTCAGTGATGTCAGCACTGACTCTGCCATTGATTTCTGTCTGGACATATTTTCACTGCAAGGTGCTGTGGGGTGGAGGAGAAGGGAGAACGTGGGTCTGTCTGTAAGCTCAAAATGTCAGTGACAAGAAGGGGATCCTTAGAGCAGATGATAAAATCAATCAGTTGTGTCTTGTTCAAGTGATTGCCTTCATGTGAGATCTGCTCTTACCTTATTCACTTGTTGGAGGAAGGGGAAGGAAGGCATCATTCATTGCCTGGTCAGAAACCAAATGAATAGAGGATCATAGACCCCTCAGAGCTGGAAGGGACCTTTGAAGGCCACGCAGTCCAACTGCCCGCAGTGCACAGGGACACCACAGCTGGATCAGGTTGCCCAGGGCCTGATCAGCCTGGACTTGAAAGTCTCCATGGATGGGGCACCCACCACATCTCTGGGCAGCCTGTGCCGGTGCCTCACCACCCTCACTGTGAAAGACTTTTTCCTTATACTCAACCTAAATCTGCCATTGTTGAGCTTGAGGCCATTTCCCCTTGTCCTGTCACCACAGACCCTGCTAAAGAGTCTGTCCCCTTCTTTCCTGTCGCTCCCCTTTAGATACTGACAGGCTGCCCTCAGCTCTCCCCCTGCCTTCTCTTCTCCATTTGCTCAGCCCCAGCTCTCTCAGCCTGTCCTGTAGGAGAGCTGTTCCATCCCATGGGGAACTGAGTCTCTTTCTAATTTTGCTTAGATTTTATGTTAGAAGGGAACTTTGATCAATTTTTGTATTTCTTTACAGTTCTGTTTGTTGACTGCGTGCAGCACTAAACTAGGTCAGAGGAAAAGCTGCTGTTTTGCTAGGGTTACGTGTTGAGGTTATGTCTGGAGCAGAGATGTTGTTGACAGAAAGCTGCAACCTTACAAAAATAACAGCTTTTGTAGCTATAGATTATGGAAAGCCCTTTCCTGCGTTTTATTTTGCATGTCTCTATCAATATAAGTAACTGATTCACTTTTTAGGCTTTTTCTTTCTTTCTGGTTTGTTAGCTTGCAAAAAAGGACGCTCGTAAATCCTACGAAACTTTTGTACTCATCTGTATTCATGCTGAGAGCAAACTTGAAACTTCCCCAGATGACCCAGAATGTGTAGTTCGAGCTAATGTATATAGTGTAGCACAAGAGGCTTTCACTCCACAAACAGAAAACTTATTTGGCAGTCTGTCTCACCGCCCAATAATTTCCTCTTGGATTGCACTCCTGGTGCTGTATGAATATTTCTCGATGTGCGTATTGCTGAGCAGAGTGCTGGTGTGGAGGGAGCCATTATCCCACCCCCCGGGGCTGAGCTGGAAGGGGGATGTCAGCACTCATTAGAAATGCATGCACACTGCCCATGTTTTATGTCCCTGTTTCTGTTCTGCTCAGAAACAAACAGATAACACTCCCTGGGGCTGTCGGTGCAGGGTTACGCTATCAGTTATCCTTATTAATAATGCAAAAATTAATAAATAAAAAAATAACTCAACGTAAATTCGTTACCTGGCTAATTTGAAGGCTTTGTTACGATGCTCACTGCAGATAAATTCAAGGTGTATGTTGAAATTTGTGATGGATTTCAGGAAATGACTTCTTGCTCAGCTGGAAGAATTTTGGTTTGGGAATATGCTAGTCTGGGGGTTGTATTTCTGGTTGTAGGGTCCTGTCTCCAGTCTTTCTCTGCAAGTGTTTTTCCTTAGAAGTAGCCCACTTCTAACTGATGCTGTTCCCTGACGATCACTCCTGCTGAGCCTCCCACCCCTCAGCTCAAGCACTGGTTTCCTATAAGCACCAGAGTGGTGTCAGAGCGATGGGCAAGCAGCAGTCAGCTTTCCTGCCAAAAGGATGGATGTTAAGGACTTAAGTGTGAAAAGTGTGGTGTTTTGATCTTCAAAATGTGCTGCTTTTTCTTAGTTTCAGACATTTCTGTTATGCTCATGATCCCAGTTTGTGCATTTTTCCGCCTTGCTGACAACAGCTAAAACTCACAGCGCTAGGAAAGCTCCTTTGCTACCCTGCTACAGAAATTTGTCTCTTACCTCTTTAGAGTGCAGTCCTATGGGTGGAGAGTTGGTTCCTTTTAGGGAAGATCTCAGGAAACTCCTTCTACTGATGGCAGCAAACCAAAACGAAGCAGCTACGGCGAAACCAAGGAGCTGATCCAAAAAGAGAACACATTTGCAGGGCTGCTGAAGGTGGAGAAGGGTGCCCCTCTATATAGCGTCCTCTGGCTCTGATAGTGCCTTATCAGCTCAGGCACACAACAGAGCAGGACGCTCCTGCACTGAAGAGCATTCTTCATCCCAGCTGAGCCCTTGGCATGGGGCTTGCTGCTGCTGTTGCAGATATAAATGTGCTGTATGAATATTCCAGTGTTCGTGGTGCTCACTGAAGGCCGCTGCTGAACTCCCAGCCTTTCACACAGCCCTCTTGGAGTCCCCTGATTATTTTAGGAGGGTGGAGTGTAGCATTGTTTGGGGGAAGTCTGGTATTAATAGGCACAACAGGACATTTCAGAATGGGATAATTCCATAATGGTGGGAGTGCAGAGAGGGAGAGGGGCGGCTGCTATGGTAACAGCTGAGCCTGTCCAACACTTCCCTTTGCTTGCAATAGAGGAGGGTCTATGGGACGGCAGAGAGGGCCTGTGAATGGGGAGGGGTTGATAATGGTTTATCAGTGCAAGTGGCTGAAGGCATCTTATTCAGCTGAATGAGAGGGGTCTCTTTCAGGACGCTTGCTTCGGGGTCCCTCTGTCCTGCCCCATATAATTACTCTCCATTTGACGGTGCCGAATAAAATCGATGCCTTTATGCTGAGATGAGCACAGCTGCATGTTTCCTTATAATAGGGTCCTGTCTGCTTTTTCTGGATTCCGTCTGGGCAGACAGTAGTTCCAGCCCTGGAGAGAGGCTCTTGATGACGGGAGGACTCAGATATGGAGAGAATAATGACGATACTTAGCACTTAGGCGCCTGCCAACTGAGGGTCAGAAATGTTTTGAGGTCTCACAACAACATCTGTGTTGAATCCTTATCCCCATTTTACAGATCTAAGGGTGATTCATCCTATCAGAGTTTTGGAAGAGGTGATGAATCCGCTGCTGCGGCCGTAAAGCTGCCCTTTCCATTTGAACTTTCCCTTTCGTCTCCTGTCTGTTGAGAATGACCTGTAGATCTCAGCAAGTTTCACACAGCAATACACTGAAAGGAATCAAGTGGGATTCTGTTTTGTGTCAGATAAACCTGCAGAAGTGAATCCTCTTGTCAGTTTTGCTTTACCATAAGTTCTTTTCTTGCTGCTAGAGGGCTACATAAGGGAATTAAACTGAACAGTTTCTCCTCAGAGCTTCTGGATACCAGGATAAAACTTTTGGGTTCCTGCAGCCTTTATAGAAGTCCCTTTTATGCTCTTGCCCAGGCTTCGCTACCAGAAATTTGGCTTCTCTGCCTGCTGAGGGCAGTAATTTGTTCTAGAACAAGTGATAGAAACACAGTTGTATTTACCACATAAAATCACACGGCTCTTTGTTTTCCTTAACTGAGGACTAAAAGGAGTTAGGAGACAGAGGGGCTAGGATTCAAAAGGTTCTTGTTTATCTCTTCACTGCTGAAGATTAAGGAATCCCATTCAAGCAATGTTCTTTGGTTTAATTGTTCTTAATTCTCTCTGCTCTGCTTCCTCCCAACTCCCACTCCTGTAATGCCTCTGCCAAAGTTATTGATGGAGAGAAGGTGTGTAGGGGAACTGTGTAGGGCCTGAACTGGTGATTTAGCACCTGGGGAAGGGGTATGGCTGGCACAGGGAGCACAGGTGCCAGAGACCCTCATCACTAGCTCGGTGAGGCAGCTGTTTTCCTATGTGTGACAGTTGGTATTCCCAAGAATACTTTGCCTGGTATCACAGAGAACTTGTCAGAAGCAGTTTTGCTGCTTCGTGGTACAAACAGGGTGTTGCTGCCTTTCCATGCCCACATTTCAGAGAGGATTGGATCTAGGAGAACTGGAAAGGTGGAAGGTGAAAGCTGAAAGAGTGACAGGTGATGGTAGACATGGATCGTGTCTATAATATGGTACATCATGGAATCACAGAGTGGCTTGTGTTGGAAGGGACCTTAAAGCCCATCCAGTCCCAGTCCCTGCCAGGATCATGGACACTTCCCACTGTATCAGGTTGTCCATCCAACCTGAACACCTCCAGGGATGGGGCATCCACAGCTTCTCTGGGCAGCAGTGCCAGGGCCTCACTGCCCTCTGAGTAAAGGATTTCCTCCTAACATCTAGCCTAAATCTCCCCTTCTTAGTTTAAAACTGTTCCCCCTTGTCCTGTCACTGTCTGCCTGTGCTATAAATATAAACACAAATCAGGGAATGTTGGAGAAGGATTCCAGGAAATATAACTTGGTAGCTATACTATATACTCTTTTCTGTGCAACTGATGTTAAGGACAGGATGTTAAACTAAATAATGTTCAGTCTGACCTCAGAAGATTACATCAAATACACCTTGCATCATGCAGTGTGCATTTTTTTAGGAGAAAGAATTTCATCATGCTTTTCTTTCTTTTCTTTGTTTGACCAGGCACCTGTGCAGGCCGTGCCATAACCGTGAGAAAGCTAAGGGGCTGGGCAAGTACATCTGTCAGAAGTGCCACCTGATAATTGATGAGCAGCCTCTGATGTTCCGGAATGATTCCTACCATCCAGATCACTTCAATTGCACCCACTGTGGGTACGTGCTGGTATTCTAAACCCTGACAACAAAGAAGGAGGAATGGTTCAGTCAACAATGCAGTCCCTTGCAAGGCCTAAACCTTGCTGCCTTCACTTTCTTAAAAAAAAAACAACATTCTGTGATGAAAAATGGAAAGATGTTGGGAAAACCTAGAAGAACTGCAGTTTTATTTTGCTGTTCGCTGTTCTTCTCTGCTGGATTTGAATGACACCATTTTGTACTGAAAACAATAACAGTTACTTGTGAGAACTTACGTCAGGGGCCGTGTGCACATTGCAATAAAAGTGCTGTCCAAAGATTGCTGGTGCCAGACTATTCCAAATAGTTTCACTTTGCATTTCTGGATAGAGGGGAAAAGAAAGAGATGAGTTGTGGTGCTGTGTGTTGCCGTGCTGTACCTATCTGACCTGAGTTATTGTCTGAAAGGCCGTGTGACTGGAGCACAGCGTGGGTAACAGCACTGAGAAATAAGGTGCACTGAGAAACAAGTGTTGCTGCTGAGCACTCAGGAACAGTCCTTCAGCTGAGCTATCTCACTCAGAGATAACATGACGCTGTATAATTGCATGTAAGCACACCATAGATTTTTGCCAGAGCGTGTACCTGAGACATGATGACAAAATGAGAAAGCAATAATAGAAAAAAATAGTATATAACAACTGCATTTCACTAGCTTAGTTTAATGGCAGCGTGTGTAGCATGAATGTTGCCAAAATATGTTAACTGTCAAGTTTGGTCTTCCAAGGTTTCACCTCTGATGTTAAGGAGCTTCACGGGGTGTTCTGACTTCAGGAACACGTTTGTGTTTTCAGGAAGGAGTTGACTGCTGAGGCCCGGGAGCTGAAGGGAGAGCTGTACTGCCTGCCCTGCCATGACAAGATGGGAATCCCCATCTGTGGAGCCTGCCGCAGGCCCATTGAGGGCCGAGTGGTCAATGCCCTGGGAAAGCAATGGCATGTTGAGGTGAGGCCTTCCCAAATCTGAAACCTCCTTCAGGAGCTGCTCTGGAAGACAGAAAACTAATTGCTTGTGTTTCAGATTGACTTCATTTTATGAGTGGATGAGTGCTGCAGGTTTGTCAGGACTGCACTGCCAAGGTTCTTGTGGAATGTAGTTCACGTAATGGCGTTTACTTACGAATAAATTGAAATAATTGCTTACTAGGGTAGAAATATTCTTTCCACTCCTGGTTTGTAACTGTTAGAATTTCTAAAGTAGGCAGAACCAGTTCAGTTCTTGCCTTCTAAGCCTTTTCAGCTCAATTTTTCTGTAACTTTCAGCTAAGTTGTCACAGCATGCTCTAAAGTTTTATAGTGATTTATGGATTTGGTGATGTAAACCTCCTAGGGCTGAATGCAACAGGGATGCTGCTGCTCATCTGAGCTGCATTCATACCAACCACGTTTTATATTCCTATTTCTCTTCTTTGAGATAAGGAAAGCAATATTCCACGAGTCTTCTCAGCGTATTTACAACACAGTTACCCTTCCAGCAAGTGCTCTGTTTATCATTAATGTAATTCTTAATGGATTATTGTAACGTCCTGAACATTTCATCTTCTCACTGTCAAGGGTTTTCCTATCTAAGTTTTATTAAGGCATGAAGTCTCTTGTATTGAGCCATGATTTGCAGCCAGCGTAGCACCCAGGCAAGTTTTTCCCTGGTGATGGACAAGTCACACTGCTTGCCACTGAGTGTCTTCTTTCTTTTGCAGCATTTTGTTTGTGCCAAATGTGAGAAGCCATTCCTGGGGCACCGCCACTATGAGAAAAAAGGACTGGCTTACTGTGAAACTCATTATAACCAGGTAAATTCTGCCATCTGTGCTGTAGGTGCTTGCTCTGACTGCCAGATGCTTTCGTAGTCTCAATTTGTAGAGGCACCACAGTATTAAGAAATTAATGGGATTTAATTGGAAAAATAGGTTTTCTTGGTAGATGTGAAAAGTAATGCAGAGAACATGCTAGAAATGTCTCAGGGAGATCAATTTTTTATTATCCTTTTGAGATTAAAAGCACTGACCATGGGCAGCAGTAAAAATTCCTGTGATTTGTGTGGACTTTTGGTTACTTATTGGTTTCTGTTAGGCTAAGATAAATGTTATGCTGCTTAACCCGTAAAGAAAAGTGTGTTTCACAAGTCAAAGCAAATGTGTTTTTTCTATATTATGATAGTGAACAGCTACGAGTTTGGTGTTTTCTTCTGTCAGACAAATTAGTCTTTATCTCACAAGAAGTGTTGCTATTTTGAAAATAGCTCTAGGTTTTGTTTTGTTGTTTTGTCCTTTCGTTTTAGCATCAGGAGATATCTGTCTTTAGAGAATATGCTGATCCTGTCATACTCAAATGGCCACGTGTGCAAGATTTCAAGATCATACAACAGTGGTAGAGTGTATGACAACAACAACAAAGGCCTTGTAGTATTTAGTGGTATGAGATCCAAACGAAAAAGGGCTATTGGCAAGTGTATGAGAAGTTATTCAGAAGATTTAAATTGGTACATTTGGGGGCAACTGCAATATCTGGGAGTTCATTAACGTTAGGATTGAAGGTTCACACCAGCTGCGTGATGTGGGGAGTGTGAGCAGTCAGTGACACGAGTTCCTGTTCTTCCTTCTTTCACTGTGCAGCTCTTTGGAGATGTTTGCTACAACTGCAGCCACGTGATTGAGGGAGATGGTAAGATTTGTTCTCTTCTTATTTTGGGTCACTGTCCCTGTTCCGTTTGTTAGTGCAGCTGTTGCAGGCTCACAGTTGCAAGGCACCAGTGTTTCTTTTTCACATCTGGCCTCATTTGAATTTGGATACAAATCCGAATTCAAATAATCTGGCAGTTTCCTTTTATTTTGTGCTTTTGCAGTGGTATCAGCTCTTAACAAGGCCTGGTGTGTGAACTGCTTCTCCTGCTCCACCTGCAACATCAAGCTCACACTGAAGTAAGTCAGCATTTATGTCTGGACCATATTAAACCATATTTGCCCCTGAGGCAGAGTATCAGCTTGGGGAGTACTGTGAGCCAGCACCGCTGAGGGGCAACGTTCTGCTGATCCAGTGATTTGCAGTGCCGTCTCTCTGTGGGAGGGCTGATTTCACAACCAAAAGAGAGCTGGGACCCAACATTTTCTCTATCTTATTTTCCTCCTGTACACAAAGGAAGAATTTCTTCCCTGAGGAGGTTGGGTAAGAGGACAGCTGTACAGAAGGAAGGTTTTAAACTCTGAATAACTGCCTATACTGAAATTCCTGCAGCTTCCATTGCTCCTTAGTGTGGATGCACCCCTTGCTGGCAGTGCTTGCAATTACTTAGAGTAGCATAACATTTTCTTTTAAAATAGTTACCAAATATGTAGAAGAGGAACAGAAAACAAAGCAGTCCTACGTTTTTCTTTCTCAGGTTCAAATGGTTCAAACCCTTATCCTGCTTTGTTGGGTTGGCCCTAACGGCCTGGTATGTGAAAGCACATGAAAGCACAGACATTTCCATTCTAAGATAACATTATTATCCTAGGCTGTTATATACAAATGTATGGCAAAATCTTGCTTCTAACTAAGCTAGCAGTACTAAAAGCCCCAGTTCCCTGATTAAAATCTGATTTTTATACTGTCATTATCATTGAAGTGAGGCATTTTACACATGTAGTAGAAAGCAAGCAATTGCATTTCTAATTGCACACAGGCTTGATTTAATCAGACATACAGCTTGCAAATAGTGCTTTAATAGCCCACTATTGTTTGTGTTAAAGGAATAAGTTTGTGGAGTTTGACATGAAGCCTGTATGCAAGAAGTGCTATGAGAAATTCCCACTGGAGCTGAAGAAACGCCTGAAGAAGCTGTCAGAGCTGGCATCCAAGAAGGCACACCCCAAAGCCCTGGATTTAAATTCTGCTTAAGCAGGTCTGTCCATCTGTTGACTGCGCTCTTGCAGTCGCAAGGTGCTGCTCACAGCAGCTGCTGATTGAAAGAGAATTACTCAGAACAAGTGAAACCAAAGAGAAGTGGTACCTTGCCCTGCTTCTGGGAACGTGGCCTGCATCTTGACTCTCTTTTTCTCAAGCAACTGCCTATTAACACTTGCAGAAAGAGCAGTTTACAGGCTGGTTATTAATTTGCTAACATCTTATTTTTAAACTGTACAGCATCTTTCTTTCTTTCTTTCCTTAGTTGAACTGTACTTCTCTCTCCATTCCTCTATAGTCTAATGAATTTAGAAACACTAATTGAGTGCAGGGGTGGAAGAAACGTGTTGTTTGCTCTTTTTTGGTTTGAGTTTACTGGATAAGCTCAGAAGCCAATAGTTACAACACCTTAATTGCCTACTTGTCTGACTCAGAACCAATGTTAGGACTGCTGAAGAAGTTTACTTTGCTGTTTCTCTGCTCAGCAGTAAGATCGCAGTTGCCAAGGCCACGTCAGCCCCTTCTGGATGGTTGGGCTCCCTTTAGGGAGGTGCTGGCTGTGGAAAAGGATAAACCTTGTTAGAAACTGATGCCATGATTTCTCAATCTGTCCTCTATCCATCATGGATACAAGAGATTCTGGTGGTCAGCACAAAGCACATCCTATCCTTGGACAAAGCTGACACTTCTAGTTGTTTTGAATTATGGAACCCAGTTGATAATACAGTGTTAATTTAACTGATTCAGTTTCAAATCCAATCCTTCTTGCTTTGTTTGAAAGGTGAGAATACACTCTGAGGTCACTCTCCACAAAGCTTAAATACACCTAGAGATTTCTGTCATTTGTAGTTGATCACCAATGCTATCTTACAAAGAAAAATCAGTGAATGGTTTTCATAACATTCACTCAAATAAGAGGCACCCAACATCTTTCTTCTTAAGACCTGAATGTGTACTTAAAGAGAGGACCTCAGACCTGAATCTACACCTTTTAACATACAGTTTTGCTTGCAGATTTCCTTCTGCTCTGTAGTTTTTCCTCTCACTGATGCAGTTTTTCTCGTACAGCCCAAGGTGCCAAAAATATATTGGTTTTGATCATCCTTACTGTTTCTTCAGGGGCAATCTGAACTAATCTGAGCAGACTGAGAATGCCTTTCCATGAGTAGTTGGAGGCTGTATCTGCCCTTTTTGTGAGATGGACAGGATTGAAGGCACTGGAGGACTGCTGTCCCATGTGGGATTTAAGTCTACCAGAAAGTGTATAGCTGAGCAGATGAAGTGAATACAGCAGTTGGGCCTGAGGCAGCCCCCTGTTAGCAAGAAGTTAAAGCTTCCTCACTTTTTGCATATGTGAGAAACAACTGGGTTGGGTGATCTACCTTAAAATTGCCCTCACTGCCATTATGCTCTGCTCCAAAAGGGTCTGCACAAGGTAAAGCACTGGTAGCTGTTTGTGTGCTTGCTGTGCAGCCACTGCCCATGGAACTGCAGCAATGATCTCGTGGCAGCAGTGGGAAGTCATGGTTAACTGTGCAGATCAGAATCCCATGCACAAGACCATCTCTTAGATACTGGCTTTCCTGATTCGATTTTCCACCAGCTGCTTTATTATAGTCATAAGTTTCCATACGATTTTAACTGGGATAGTCCTTATCCACCCTACAGTGATGAGGGGATGGGCTTTAATCAGGTGGCAGAACTCTCCCAAGGCCTTCTGACCAGTGTGCACTGTGGATTACACTAACTGTGGCTTTTGTCACTGCTTTAGGAGAACACGTGCCTTGTCCCTGTTCTCTCACTAACCCATAGAGGTCTTTTAGTTGAGGACCCAAAGAACAGCACGTCTTTTAGTGCAGGAGGATGTGGGCACTGCAGAGATTTTTCCTATTCTTTGGCTGGTTCACAGAATGAAGCACAGAAACATTGATTTAGATACGTTACGCAGACTGATCTCAGCATAAAGCATGCAGGTCTGTTCCTGTCATCTTAGTCACAAACCACACCTCATGCCAAGTGTGAACAGCTGTGTGCAGAGCTTCTGGGAAGGTGCTGGGGAACACTGAGCTGTGTACCTACTAGTGAAAACAAAGAGTATGCAGCTAGCAGGCAATAGGAAATACTCTTTCTGTGGCCACTCTCAAGTTCAGCAATGGAAAATTCAGGCATATAGAAGCAGATGGAATTATTTATTCCTGCAAATAGAGAGTCTGTGCTTTCACTTTGTCTCATGCTAGAAATCAAGCAGACCTAGTAGGCTTCAGTAATCCAAGAGCAGCCAGTATCATCCTCTTTGTTAAGGTGTTCAGTTTGCATTCTGTCCTCAGAGCATTGCCCAAAAGGAGTGAAAAAACCATCATAGTCCCTGTTTTCTGTGAAGAACTGAGAGTGGTGATCTCTTAGCAGCTCTTAAATTGTGAAATGTTCAGACTGCTTTTCTTAGCCTACGATGGACAGATGTGCAGTGGTGAATGTTACGTACCTTTGGTGAGGCAGTGGAACTGAAGGAAAGAAAGGTCATTAGGAGTAGTTTGAACAGATGCATCTTCCCTCTACCTCTTTGGGTCCACTTCTAAAAAACTTTAAGCAGAAGATAATGCAGACTGAATTCAGAGTTGCCCTTAGTGCCTCTCATGAAGCCAAGGTCCTGGTCAGAAATAAGCTGCCTGCTTTTTTTCCATTGCTGCAAGCAGATAAATGGCCAAATTCATCCTAAGTATCAAACCTCTGGAGAGCAGAGATTTATACCAAGGTTGAATTTGGCTCAGAAGCCTACACTAACTAAAAGCTCATGTAATTACATGCATTTCTAGTTTACATTCCTATTTATACATACAGAATTACAATCACTAATATTCACTGACTGCACTTGAAAATATTTATGCTTTTAGAAACCACAGCATGTGAAGCTTGTTTGTATTAAAAGGGCATATTAATCACCTGCTGTCTTTCTTTATAACCTGCTCTCTTGGGTTTGCATCCTGGCCTTTATTTTTACACCAATCTGTGCAGTGTTAGCAAACATTCAACCTCCTGGGCAGAGAGTTCCTAGATGTGAGCTTTGTATCAGATGATGTGACTGACAGGTGATCAGATGGTGAAGGAGCAGATTGCACAGAGCTAATAAGTGCAGTTGCAGTAGTCTGTAAAGCAGTATTAAGTGCTGAGGACAGTAGAAGTTGGATGAAAGAATTAGCAGCAATTAGTCATGGTTCAGGCTTTGATGATAGGTGTGGACTCTGCACAGTGCAGAGCTCTCATTTGATCACACGTTGCTGGTGCTAACCTGACATGTGACTGTGGGTTGAAGTATTGTAATATTGTACCTGTTTGTATTCCTGTAATAAAGTTAATTGTACTGCTATATTTCAAATCTTTGCACACCAAAAAAAAAGAAAAAAGAATTTGTATATAGAAAACTTACATTTGCATTGCTGAGCAATGGGGCATTATGCATCCTGAGGAGCTCTGAGGACTGCCCAGGTCTGATCCACTGCTGTCTTGAATTGCTGTTTTGGTTGTGTTGCTTCTGTTGTGTTGGTTGATGAGGATGTGCAGAGGCTCTGCCATACAACTGGGCTTGTCTATGAAAAGCAGCTGGGATGCTGTGATTGTAGTGGGTGTGTGGTGGGTTTAAGTTACGTGCATCTGGAACAAATACACACTTTTCATGTTGGAAGAGGCACTGTGGTTGATTTTCTGCAGTGTTTATGTAAAAACCAGAAACGATACATTTTGGATGCAAAATTTCTTTTTTTTCACAGGTAAAGTATTGAATGCTTCTCACTTACAGTCAATGAGATCACACATGGGAGGACAAAACAACTCCAAAGTCTTTAGTCTCAAAAGTTTCCATTGCCAGCAATGGACGTGACAGCAGAACATCTAATTGCTTGCAAAACCATCAGCTATTCTAACAAGTGTGGCACTCATTTACACGCACAAAGAGAGGGGGGCTCTTCCCTGCCACGCATGTACAGAATTCCCACTGGAGTTTGAGCTGCAAACACACAGCTGAGGGAACAAGGGAACCATTGTGCACACATTGGCAAATTGGTGAGAGATCCAGCAGAGCTGCTTCTCCAGCACTGCTGGGTCGAGTCTCGAGGAGCTTGGTGCAGTGCTTTAAGACATGTCCTGTTTCACTGTGACAGCCTGTCGCTGGGGAAGCAGTCCTTGTTCTCTAGTGGAGCAAGCATCTGGGCTCACTGCCACCACAGGGCACACATGCTCTGCTTCCTGACAGTCCCAAGTTGTGTGTTGACAGAGGTCTGTGACATGGACAAGCACCGAATCAAACTCAATGCCTAAAACAGGAAATAGCTTTCATAGCTGAAGATCTTTGCTATCGTTCTTGTCTTGTGAATGAGTGTCTACATAACTCCAAGCTGAGGACATCTCTACAGAGCAGAAATCTTTTTTCAACAGATGTCTGTTAGACTGACTTTTTCAGTTCAGATTGCACTGAACAGCACATCTGTAACTAGAAATAGGAGCAACTGAGTAATGGGCCCACGATCCAAACCCATGTCAGAGTTTGTTCAGGCTGCCTACAAGCTGTCCAGTAGGAAGCAGCTGTTAGTTTCTGAGTGTTTTGTGAATCATGGAAGGAAGAAAACCATTTAATTTAGCAAAGGCAGTGATAAACCAGTGGCCAGCCCACGAACTTAGCATCACACAGGAGTGACATTTATATTGTGACAGTAACTAGCTCTCATAGCCTACTGCAATTTCTGTACATAACCTAGTGATAAAAGGGTGAAAACCTTCCTCTTACCTTTCCAGGTGTCCCATTATCCTACTACTAAAGGGCATTTCTGCACTTCCAGAATTTCCAGTAGGAAGAAGAAATATTACCTCTGCTGCACACTATGCATTTGTTAAAAGCTTAGGAAACAAGGCAGGAAAGGGAAAAAGAACCCCGTTAATGTGTCTCTCTTTAAGAATAGAGGAGATCCTGAGTACCAGGAGTGGCTCCTGTATTTGGGTTTGGGTGTTCCTCTCTTATTAAAAACAGCCATGCTTCCTCAAACTTCAAAATCTGAATGGAGTTCTGTTATTACACCTAGGAAAGATGAGATGAAGATATCTGAAAGCACGAGCTCACTTGAACTCGTGTTAGTATTTCAGCAGCACAGTTCATTTAGTGTGTGATCAGAAAACTGATCAGCTAGATTAATATTTTTAAATCATTTTTCTTCTGGGAGATGAAATGATGGGTACTTTGGCACCAATGCAGGTCGTGGCTTCTACTTTTGCTTTCAAGCTGGGAGGCTCTTTTGCTTGTTAACTGCATTCATCAGCAGGTGTACATAGGATGTCAGCAGGTCATCCATTTTGTAACCCTGTTGGAAAAGAAAGAAGTCGTAAGTCTCTCAAGCAGCCCAAGAAGCAAAAATAATTATTATTTTCTCCTTGTTTTTCCTTCTTAGATGTTTTCCTGAAGGGATGATGTCTCTTCCAACAGCTGCTGCTGCTTTTATAACCATTTCTCTATTTTTCCCTCTGCTCTTCCTTTCATAGATTGACAAAAGTTTACAGAGCACAGCTCTGCTGGCACTGTCATATCCTTGTAATTCAAACCCAGAATTTGTTCTGTAGCTACAATCTTGTCTAGACATTGGGAGGCTGCGTCCAGGGGTCCCACCCAACCCTTGTGGTTCTGTGATCTTATACCTGGGAATCCAAGCTTCTCTGTGAGAGAGTTAAACCCTAAGAGTTTTGAGGGTTTTCTTTACAGTTTTACCTATAAATATCAGTACAGTACAGATGCTTCTCTCAGTCTCAGCCGTCTGAAACCAATCCTAAAAGAGGATTGTACCATTCACTTAAAAGCAAAATCTTACAAGATGGCATTACTGCACAGTGGATCAAACCAAGCAAGATGAAAACATTCTGATGCAGTTCTGTGCCTAAATGCAATCTTTTCTATCCCAGGTAGAATTTTTATGTATGGGAAGAATTTGGGAAGTGACCTTTTTTCCTTGTTTCTGTAGCTTGCTTCTTTGCATCAGATGGCATTACAGAGCACTAAATTGGTTCTAAACTGCAGCTGTATTGGCATAACAGTGAACGGGTTATCTGCACTGGTTTTAGTGGTCTGGCATCCTGTTTTGGCATCCTGTTTGTAGCTGGTCTGGACACAAAGGAAAAACGAGGAGCTTTTTGTTGGTAAGTGAACAAACTCTTCTTACCAGAGATGTCTCACATAAGATCCGGCTTCCTCGTACCAGGTTCCCTATTGTCATGTGAAAGAATGTGCTCCCACTGCTCCAATTGGAGATTTTATTAAAGGGGTAAACTGTTAAAATTTCCTGTGAGGAGAAACACATTGATTTGACTGAACTATTCAGCACTGCTCAAATGAAAATAGGCTCTCACATACAAAAACCTGAAGAGAAAGAGCTGTCTTTTTGTTCCCTGTTTCTTTTATAAATACAGTGGATCAAGGTAGGCCTTACATCCAGTCTGATGTATACACTGAGCAGTCTCAATCACACTGAGACCTCCTCTTACTTCTTCAACACACTGCCATCACATTTACAATAATCTAAAACTCACTGGATGATTCTTCTCTTATTAAAAGCAAATAGTAATACTTAGAAGCTGTTTTTGCCTAAGAAATTGGTGAGACCAGACTTTAGCTAGGTTGGAGGGCTGGTGAGCACTGTCATTTGGCATGAGCTTTTGGACACTATGCATTTCCTGCAAAGCATTTGTCTGAGGCAGGCTCCCTGTGCACTGCCCATGCATGATCCAAGTCCATCGTGATTGCTGCTTCTGTTTTCAGAGGTGCCCCACACTGATCCCTTTTCAGTGCAGAAACTGCAAAGGAGTGATCTGAGGCTATAACATTTCCTTTAGTTTTGCACTGAAAATAAGCGAAGGGATCCCAGCCTCTCTAGCACTGAGAGAGAAGATGTTATTGCTGTCTCTGATTTAGGAGGCTCAGTTGCTTAGATGCTTGGGAAACAACTGTTACCTTTGTCTTCTGATGTATCAGTGAGACTCCTTGCTTGTTGATTGCAATCAGCACAATCTCTGGGAAATTTGGCTCAGAGGTTTGCTAGAACAGAGAAGGTGAAAAAACTATCAGCTGTGATGCATCTGTGAAGCACTATCAAGTGCTTCTTGTTCTCTTTACCAAATAAATAATGGAACCTAAAGCTCTTCAGTATTATGAAACTGTTTCTGAGGATGAGTTTTTGGCTAAACAGCAATGACTTAATGCTGCATAAAGCAGAATCAGGTTTGTTATTTCCCAGACTGACAGTGGGCTTAGTGGTTGGCTGCAGAATAGGTTGTTGGTAAGAACTTAGTGGGCAGAAATTACAAGCAACAAGGAGAGAAAGTTCCCTGTGGGTACCCACTCTGAATGATGGTTAGTACAGTTCTGCTCTGAGGAGAGAGTCTCCAGAGACAGCAGCATTCTGTTGTGGAGAACAGTGACAGCACAGTAATCCTGTAACTAAAAGAAAAGCCCCCCACCTGCTACATAGTCATAACATTAAGTATTACAGCTGGTTTTAATACTATCTGTGTTACTGCTATGTTTTACAACTGATCCTCAAAGGTGAATGTAGCAGCATCACTTATTTGCAGTGTACTCCTGTGTTTGGCAGTTTTGTCCCTTCCAGGAACCAGGAACTGGGATGAAGAACTCATCTCCCTGCTGTCAAGACATTGTGTTTTCCTTAGGGCATGATGGGAAGCCAGTTAACTAATGTATTATTACGTAGTAGGGAATTATGTCCACATCCCTAGTGCTGGTCTGCTACCAAAGCCTGACATCCAGGCCTTTGCACCTACCTTCACCTCAAAGAAGGCTGATCCAAACGTTGGCCACCGGTATATGATTTTCAAAAAGGCAATCTTGGCCTCATCCACAGTTTTTCCTTCATGCTTGGTGTATGCTGCAGTAATGCTCTGTGTGGGGAAAAAAGGGATACACAGCCTAGTCAGTTGGAGATGGGCAGGTTTCCATTGTCCAGCATCAGCACTAGAGAGAGACTCACACCGTCAGCCAGGTCACTGCTGTGAGCGCTGTGACAATGAAAGCAGCCTACCATCCCAGGGGGCCAAACCTCCCCCGTGTATCTTACTCATGTGCTGGGAAGTCTGTGAGCTCAAGGGAGCAGATTCCAGGGCAGAGGGGCAATAGGGGATGAAACAAGACTCAGAACACTACTGTTCCCAACAGACGCAGATCACATTTTCTGAGGTGGACCCTCCAGCTGTATTTGAAGTACCTGCTGAATCTTTCTTGCCTTTCTGTGAACGAAAGAGCCTTTTGCCATGAGAAGTAGTAGTGCAAGGTCACTGATTTGCTGGCCAACCTTTGAACTATTTAGCAAGTTCTAATTTTCTGTTTCT